GACACCCAACAGCTCAGGGCAACTCAAAAGTCTCTCCTCCACATTATGTATCGTACAGCGCTGGAAAAATAACAGTAAGAGGGTTGGTCATAATCTGCGAGCCTCAAGCCTGACCAAAATTATCTACAACAAAATTCCACGTTATATTGCACAAGAAAATTCCTTGCAACGTACTATCACCGCAAGCAGGCTAAGCAACAGCAGCTGTGTCAAAAGTGAGATAACCTAGTTTATCTGAAACACTGACTTCAGAAATGTTGGAAGTTGAAAAGATTAAAAATCCACATTTAACCACACATACCTTTTCCAACGTGCCTGTCATACTGATCATAAATAATAAGGCAGTGTGTGGTTTAGTGGAATCATGCACGTTACCAGGTGTTTGTAGCAATTTAGGTTCAGAACAGGACATCCTTTGTCCCCCCCTTCCTCTCCCATGAGAGTATACAAACGGTTTGTCTCTGTTTTTGTGCACATGGCTCCTTGATGCTCCTAAAGCACTCATATGTTTCTGTCAGGTCAATAAATGTAAATATGTAAGGTTAAAGTTGAGAAAATGGAAGGCTTTTTCACATAAAGTTCCCACTTCAACTGGAACCACTGCATAGGAACTTACTGGTTATATATATATATGTGGTTACTGATATGCCGGGTTTAATGCAAGAATGGTGTTCTGCCTTAATCTTGGCAACAGTGAAGGTAAGTTAAGTGAAGTTTGTGTATGACAGATAAAAGGATAAGCATCAAAAAACATGTGTGAACAAAGTCATATATTGAAGCTTTTGTAAACATAAGTCAAAAACATTACATTTTAAGAGCACTCTCACTGTTCAACAATAAAAACTGTGTTTTCCTGGAAGACAAAGTCAGTCACACCTAACTCTGACATCATGGAGCCTTTCTATGAAAAGTGATCAAGCAGCCATTAACCAGTGTTTAATGAAGACTATGAAATGAAATGAATCATTGATGTATCTTTGAAAGTGTAAGAGCAATCTTGCTAGTTCATGGTCTACGAAATAAGCAGTTCAGCTCCGTATCAGTATCGCAAACACAAACTGTATTAAAGACAAACACATTAAAAAAAGTCAGTTGTTTTCCTGTCCTTGTTTTGACGCCGTTTGGCTCACTGCCATTTCAGTGACATCCTTTTAAAATCTCAGTAACATCAGGGTTATAGATTTCTGTATTCAACGCGTTCTTATTACGATATTTTTGCTCATACACAGTTTAAACCAGCATTTTCAGCTTTTTTAAGTGTTCAGCTTGTATGAAAGTATGACATTCCTGAGCAACACACATTTTATTTTAATCAGGGTAGATAATCTTTATTTAATCTTTAGGTTAAATGAATTTACTTTCATTTTCGTCAGTTACCCAACATGGAATATTTTTGCCCTGTTTCTTTGACTAATGGTGACTAACTGAGAAGTGGAAAAGTATGATTAAAACTGAAATCACAACAGTCTTCAAAGAGGTTACATTTGGCACTGCTTAGATATTATGACTATTGTTGTTAGAGAATATCTTAGGCAGGATAAGCATTAGACACGCTTTTGTAAGGTAGTTACATTGCGACAAGCACAAAGTAATTAAACAAAAGCAAACTGATTAACACACAACTTTTAGTGCGATTAGCGCAATAAAGGCAACTTGTTACTCATCTCCGGAAGCAACAGAGAAAGGGACAAAAAGTTGCTTGACCTTGTGGATCTTTTTGTAGTTGTTGTAAGTTAAACAACGTCCGTGAGGAATAAAACAACTTTTAAGTTAGTTTTAAGTTAGGGTCAATACAAGTCAATAGTTTAAGATTTTTATAAATGTAGTTTATAAATGTTTGCTTCTGACACAAGCAATAACTGTCTATCTCCATAAGTAACCTGTTAGCTGGGAGTACTAGTTAGTTCATATACATTTATGAGCGCAGTTAAACTAAAGCTGGTTGTTTTGAATGGACATTTATTATTATTATTTATTATCATCGCTATGAAACTACCCGTCTGCAGACGTTAGCACTGTAACGTAATGTCCGACTATAACTCATCAAATATTAAAAAATATACATATTATCTGTTCGTGCACTCAAACTGTTTTACCCAAACGTAACTAAGCTGACACGGGCGGGCTAACCTGGCCCGGGTACGGACTCTAATAACGTGAAACCCAGGTTAAACCCGGGTTAAACCCAGGTTAGCAGCCACAAACACCAACGTTACAGTTCCCATTAACATTAGCCAGCTAGCTAGCAAGTTAGACAGCCGGAGTACAAGTGTCTGATCCGATTAGCTCCACTGACGATCACTGAACACTTTCCTTTGGCTGGGAATCGATTGAAAACTTACCTGTAATATCTCGGAGGCAGCAAAACATGAGAATTAGTTTAAGAAATATCATATCGAAAGCCCCTGTGCGCCCCAGTAAAGCAGCTTAGCGACCCAGCGACACCGCGGATTGTTTCTTGTTTCGTTTATCTTTCACTTAAAGGTATAGTCGCCCTTCCTACTTAGCTAGCTCCCATCACAAACACCGGCGCTGCCTGTCTCCACCAACCAAATGTCAGACAGACAGACAGACAGACCGACCGAGAGACCGAGAGACCGAGAGACAGACAGGCAGACAGGCAGGCCCTCCTCCCTTCCGGCGTGTTATGCCAAGTGAGTTTGGACACACCCATCCCTCCACTGTTGTGCTCGTTGTTGAGGGACACTGAAGATCGGCCGCAGGTCACTTCTGAAGACGATATTGAGTTTCAGACAAGGACAACTAAACATTAGTGTGTAGTATTTAGTTTACATGCTTCAAGCCGCTGTTTCGGTTTTTCATTGAGCACTTATACAAGTTGTTTACTTCCGCAAATCATCTGACTTCCGGGTTTTATTATGCAGGTTTTTTTTTAGTTCATATGGAGGACAAAAGTCAAAAAGAGGAAATTAATTATCGAAAGAGCAACTACATTGAAAAATACATGTATACAATGTTATATATATACTTAAATATATATATTTAAATATATGAAAAGATATATTCAATATATAGTAGTTATATAGTCAGAATTTATTATTATATATATTAATCATATGAAAGAAATTTAAAGATTAGCTGTGAGATATTTGTTTTATTTACTTTATTTTCCTCATCAGAATCAGTTTGTTTGAGAAACAGAATGGATCTTTAGTTATCAATAAAAGACATTTGGTGTTTAGACCAATTTTTGTCATGTAAGGCCATCCCTGTAAAAGAGAGTTACAATAAACTAGGGAAAAATAGAAACAATTTAAAGCCTAAATCTATATCTGGACTTCCAGTAAATAAATATAGAAGCAAAACAAAGGTGAAGTCGGCTATTCAGAAATAAAAATAAGTTATAAAGTACAGAGTAAACAGACAGCAGAAGTATAACCATGATGATTACGAGCAGGTGAAGCATAATTACAACCTGATGACGACAGTAAAAAAAACCAAACATGTGTTAAAAGAAACTGCGTATTGATTTCCTGTTTGGTTTCCTGTAACAACCACAAAGTTATGTCACGTCTGTCCACTGCACTCAAATAAAACTGTACAACCAACAACAACTAAACTGGCACGCAGTAGGTTATGTTTGGGTATGTGGTTTCACAATAATAAATATATATGTGGTTATGGTTTACTAAACAACTTGGTGGTGTTCGTTTCTGCACCCACAGCAGGTTAGATGCTGTATGTCTTAGATCATGCTTGGCCTGCATGGTGGTCTACTTGGAAGCAAATTGTGTATTTCAAATTCAAATTCAACTGAAGATGTTTTATCTGATCAATCCTTGTCAAGATCCTATACAGTGAGGGTGTCATTGAGAGTCAGGAATCATAACTATTTTATTCTATTGTATTTTAATGTACCTGGCTGCTGATGAACGACCCCAATCCTTCGGGGACTTAATAAAGTCTATCTAATCTTATCATTCTATTCTATCTATATTATCTATATATCTATCTATCTATCTATCTATCCCTTTTCTAAAAATAACATGAAATATGTTTCCTTTTTTTTAAAAAAAGGGGTGGAAAAGCTCTTTTCTCATTGGCAGCACTTCTGTCACTGTGGCACTCACCCAAACAACATCACTACCAATCAAAAGGCTTTGAATAGGTTATAGATTGTTAGAGTAAGGGGTATGTTTGATGGAGGAATGGTTTTCATGCAGTCTGATGTCTGTAAAGTTCAGTGAAGAGCGGGGATGCTCCTCCTCTGCTCGGCCGAGTAATTGCTGCCACCCAGCGACTGTAAACAGTTACTGCATGTGGACTGATCAGACCTGTCAGAAATAAATACAGGCCGAAGGAAGAAAGTCTGGAGGAAGAAGTCCCCCAAAATATATTTTATTTCAGAAGAATTGAATGGTTAAAGAGGGCTGGGGACACAGTAGGCTTAGGAGGGCTGGAGGCCTAGGTTGTCATTAATTAGAACCAGATAATTATATAGGTTTCAATTAGGGGATGAGTGGGTTTTTGTACCCATCTACAGAAATAAAAAGACTGTTTTGTATTAATGAACGTTCAAACTCACACCCAACCAACTGTCAACTGTGTAGTATCTGAAGTCTCGTTTATCCGGAGAGTAGTACAACTACGGAGGTCTGGCTACGCGAGATTTGTGCGGCCTCACAAATGGGCGAGCACTCGTACACAAGGCGGCCACGGCAGGTTCTGTTCACGCTACATTCACGGGTCCTCGTAAAAAAGACAAACTTCAACTATGAAGATGGAGCAAGCTACACACCCTAGTGACCCTACAGAGGTTTCTGAGCCAGCACATTTAAAAAACCCCAACAACGTTTAATTACCTGTATACACTCACTCTAATCTCGCTATTGAGAGATATAGTTACTTGGGTCGACTAGGATGGCTCTCATCGTTTAATCTGAGCGATGTTCATAAGTATGAATAATTAATACGAGTGCACTCAAACGCACCACCCGCCCCTCGCTCGGCCTGAAAGCAATTCACTCTGATGACGTCACTCGCAGAGTTGTCATGGCGTCTTTGGGACCGAGGCTGCTGCTGCAATTTAGCTAAAAATCCGTCGACAGTCTGTAAATCGAAATGGAGAAAAATGCAACCCTGCATCGAGACACTGACGGGAGCTCTTTGTGTGCCACGATCGCGGGAGAGATGGGCGACGTTACGGCTGTCGGCGGAGTGAAAGGAACAGCCGAGAAATGCAAGAATAGTGAGGCTCCTCTCAGTACTTTGGTTAACGTTAGTTGTAATAACAGCAGCGCAAATGTTGCTGCTCCCAGCGCCGTGAATGTCACTTCCACTGCTGGGAAGTCCGACGTACCAGGAGCGGTCGAAGTCCTCTCCGTGCAGGATGGTAGCAAGAAGGACACCGCGGCGAGCGGGTCGTGGTCGGGGTCCGGGGACCAGATCAGTAACGGGATGGGGCATGACTCGGTGCTGGCTGCAGAAGATAGCGAGGGTGGTGCCTCAAAGTTAGTAAACAACAAAACCGACGGGCCGGCCTCACCTCCCGCTAAGGGGAGCACAGATGTGCGGGATGAGGGTTTGGCTCGTGGAGAAAGTGAATCCACAAAACTTGCCAAACCGACTCATCTGTGTCCGGACCATGCAATCACAGCCGGCGTCAAGTCGGGGCTGTCCGGTGATCACACCTTATCGGAGGCATTGCCGAGTGGGAGTGACCCCGATCCCAGCCTCGGAGGAGAGTCCCGGAGCATAGATTCACTCGAGTCCTTCTCCAACCTCAACTCCTGCCCCAGCTCCGACCTGAACAGCGAGGGGCTGGAGGACAGGGGACTGGCCCTGGCCCTGCAGAACGAGTACGGGGCTGATGGGACAAAGAGCGCTAAGGACCGGGCCGCCGGCCAGTCTATATACCACATTAAGTGGATCAAATGGAGGGAGGAGAATACGCCGATCATCACCCAGAACGAGAACGGCCCTTGTCCATTACTGGCAATTATGAATGTCCTTCTGCTTGCATGGAAGGTAAAGGCTCTGAGATGATGGATTAATGGAAACCTGACTCTTAACGAATACAAATAGGCACATTTTTATAGCTCTGAGCTCAATCAGTATGTTATGTGATTACAGTGTGCAGTAAGACTTGCTAATGGTTAATATGCGCATCTAACACTAGATCTACCCCGGTGCCCCCCTCTATCCCTCAGCACTTCCTGTTGTGAAATTAATTTGTGTCAAGACATGTATGATTTCTCAATATCAGCATTATGTATGAATTGATTTAAAGACGTCAGTACATGCTGAAGACTTCAGTACACGTTGAATGCTGACAAAGGGTATGGTTCCTCTCTGTTGCAGGTTAAGATGCCACCTATGATGGAAATCATAACTGCTGAGCAACTGATGGAGTATCTTGGTGAGTGTTCGTAGATATTAAAGCTATTACACAACATCATGTTATTAGGATTATATGTTCTCTCACCCAATCTGCTCTCTCCTCTGCTCGGCTTCTTTTCACCTGGTGTCACACGTGCACAATACTAACCTATTTTATCACTGGCAGAAGATAAAAAAATAAAAAATAAAAGTAGTTTACTCCAATAATAATATGTTTGCCTGCATTTACTGAGTCACATCATCTTGAGTAAGTGGTAGCCCATGAGGCCACTCTTGTAAACTTACTAGCCCGTACTGAGTTTCACCCACCTAGTAAACATTCTTGTGTTTCATGCATCTTCTCAAATGAGCGGTTACATTCTTAAGGTCAGATATATATATGTCTATATGTGTGTGTATATATATATATATATATATATATTCCAGAGTCAACAGAGGAAGAGGACCGAACAGGGGAATTCCCCGTGATCCAATCTTCTGCTGTTGCAAAAGAAACAGGAGCTATCTCTTCTTTCTGGCTGTCTCCTGCCCTTCATAACCAAAATGACTCTCGATATCAAAGCAGAGTGTCTGATTACAGCAGGGGTTCAACAGAGGTAGAGTCGGTCCTTGCTAGTGGCCTCTCTTTCAGCTAAACTGAAATAATCCACATTACAGCACTATGGTAGATTTCCCCTTACTGGGATTGTATCTGTTGGCTACCACGGCTCAGTCTCTATAATCTCTTTATAAATTACAGTTAAATAATGATTGGCTGTGACTCTTTTTTCTCCAAAAGTGCCTTGTGTGCAACCTTGTGCATGCATGTAATTACATCACACAAAGTTAACGTTGTATAATGTTCAGGGGCTGCTGGATAACTTCTAAACTAAGCACTGCAAGGGGTTGATGATGGGCGACAAAGTTCAGATGTGGTGTTTTAAAGTGTGTGGGGTCGTCAATCAGCCGCTCTGCAGTGTAGCATGTCCGGGATCCAGATACAGATATTAAGGCGAGGACCGGAGATGAGCGAGTTCACCGGAGTACAGAGCAATGAGGGGTTTTCCCTGTTGTGGACATGCTGTAGTAAAACCACTCATCTGGCTGACCCGTTAAAAATATTTTTTGCCTTGCTCTACAATCTTCATCTAGGGTGACATAGAAATGAAGTCAGAAGAGTGTTTTAAACACACCTGCAAAGAGTTAATGAGTTTGAGTTTAGTTTAGTTTCGTAAAGCACAAGTTTGTGTACTAATTAAGAGCTTTAAACATGTCTTTACTTTGGTCACATGGTGACATTAACTGTATTTTTTATTGTAGATAGGCTAGTTTAGTTTTTTCTCCCAGCATGCACATGAAGAAATCATTGTGCCTTTCTTTTTTTTGGTGCTGGATATATTCCATTCATTCTATTTGCTTGAGCAAAATACATATGAAAGCGTTTTTTTCCCCTCCATGTGTAGCTGTTTTTACTTAATGTTGCTGTTGACGACAAGAGGTCGATGGCATTCCTTGGAGTAATTCTCTGGAAAAGTATGTGTTGACGGTGCGGAAGATACTCTCGCCAGTTCCTAATAAATTAATAATTCTCTGTGAAGCGTTTTGAAAAATACTTACACAAGAGTTTTAAAAGTAAGGAGTATAGTGCAAGAACACTTTTAACAGCCATAACAAGAATATATTGGCACAACTGCCTTTGTTAGTCAGTCTATGTGAAATACTTTAAATGAAATAAACTAAATATACCATTCACAAGAGAGGCACATGCACTACAACTCAAACAAACATCTGGCTGGAGGTCTCGTGTTCAGCAGTGTATATGATGTGCCTTGAAAAATATCCACGTACCCCTGATGTAGTGTCAGGTCTAGATCTGATTTGTAAAGACATGTTCATGATAAGAAAGAAGCATGTTTGTCGAGCTGATCAGACTGAACGGAGCTGAAACCAGACAGCTGCCAGGCTGAGCTGTCCGCCGCAGCTCACACTGCTACAGAGCCGAGACGACGGCGCTCTCAGGTGACAGCGCAGTGGACAGGAGCTGGACTGATCCTACATATTTGGCACAGCCTTTTCTTCGGGGAAACAGCTGGCCAGTGCTAAACCCCACCCCAATGGCTACTTAAAACATCTCAAAACATCTGTCACCTTTAATACAAACACTTCAGCCATGAAGCCATTGTGATAATCGGTGGCAATCAAGGTAGTTTGATCTGTCAATACAATATAAGTCAACACATCTGTTAACACCTCTGTCCTTCTGTCGCTCTGCAGGAGACTACATTCTGGAAACCAAGCCTAAAGAGATATCAGAGGCTCAGCGGCTAAACTATGAGCAGGTAAGACCAGTCTAATCACTGTGGAATATTATTATTAAACAGGCGTGTGTTTTTGCTTATGTGTGTGCATTAGTAAGCTGCTGACTGTTCACGGTACTTGAGGAGCGCAGTGCTTTTGGGATAAACACACACACTCTCTCCTCTCTCTGTGTGGAAACATAATTGTGCAAGTTTAACATGAGCTCTCACTTGGTTTCACCGACACTCAGAATATCGCAGCTGTTCTCACCGCCATTATTGAAGTATTTTCACCACAGTATACAAAGCACACTGCTCTGATGTGTCCACACGCACTGTCAGCATAGCTGCATGATTACACTATGGCGGGTTTGTGCATTTGCGTTGATGTAGCAGATAAGGTCAGCGGATGTTCCATAATATGGAAATGAGCATTGAGTCAATTGCAAACCACATCAAACTGCAGCTTAGCTTTTTTCCCACTCCTCTATAGGTTACATAAGAAGTGTCTTGCAAGGCCCAGGGGACAACAGGGGTCAGGAGTGTCAGATTATGTTGTTTCACATGGCTGTGAATGCTTTGAGACGCATGGCTGGGTTCAGCTCCCGGCTATTACTGAGGCTGTGTGTGTGTGTGTGTGTGTGTGTGGGGCTCAGCATGAGAGGCACTTGGAGATGGAGCTCCGACTCCAGCTCCCCTGCTTCCTCCCATCTCTGCTGCCTGCCTATGGATTGGGAGAGGCTCTGACTCTCCTCCTCTTGCGTGGCAGAGTACCAGCACATCTGTGAATGATTTGAGGCCACACTTGTCCCTCATTCAGAGAGGAGAAAAAAAGAATGTGCAGTCTCCTCGTAGAAGCTCACTGCAACGGTCTTTCTAAATTTAAGTTGAGCTGAAATACAACCTCTTAAATAAATCAGTGGCGTCCTCAACATACACGGTTAAAGTAAGGGAGTGGTTAGAGTTTGTGTTGCATAGTTATTATGGCAGTCTAATCCTAGACACTGGCCTGGGAGCTCTTCTGCATGTGGGTGTCCGCATGTCCGGGCGCTGTGGTTGACACAGTATGTGGAGACTACTGTGGGCAGAGCTCCGGGCTGCTAGAAGCTGAGGATGTAAGAGAGAGCGAGTCTGAAATATGTTTATGTGTATGTCAAACAAAAGGTGTCCTCTTCTTCTTCCTCTTCTTTATATGTCGGAAAGATGTGTTCATTGCTTATTGGATTGTTATAAGATACAACTGAAGCCGCCCCGACTTTGAAAAGAAGGAGTTCATAACAGAAGTTCTATTTATAAATTCAGCTCAACAGCCATCATCTGTCACAGGAGTGTATGAGGATTAAAATAGCAGTTGCACGGCTGCTCTTTAGCTATTGTTAAATATTTACTCGGAGGAGCTGTGGAAGTGAGAGTGTAGTTTTGCCCTGAGTTTGTCTCAGTGGACCCAGCTCCAACAGCACTTTTACAAAGCAGTTCATCCACGATGACGGTGTTCAACCACTGGAGGAAATGGGTTATCATGTTTTATGAAACCTCTTTGTTTTCATTGGGTGTCATTCACACTGATGGGTGTTGTTCACAAATGTTTCTTAAACCTTTCTTTTGTCTTTTGTGAGTACAGCTGATAAAATCCCAGCACTGGTTTCAAAAAGCATCTTAACCTTGGCCTGTTTGATGATTTTTCGTACATATCTGTTTGGTAGACACCCGTAACTATGTCAGAAAGGAGTTGAATCACCTCTGCAGACAACAGAGTTAGTGGTGTTTCTGCATTGGACTGCATTATATTGAAAGGTGTGTGTGTTATGTATGTAAATGGGGTTTACAAACAGAAGCATGAGACTAGTTTGATGATTAATCCAACAAAAATGTAGAGCAGTGACAGCTGCTGATGTGTGCCTGGATTCATAAAAGTATGACTCACATTATGGGACATCACAGTCTTAAAAAATGCTCATTATTTACAGCTCCTACTGGTCATGGCATTACGTAATGGGTTACGTCTGTCCTCCAGTGATTGATAATGTTGTTTTTTTAGATTTATAGATCTGTATTTTTAGAGTTTTATAGACATGGATGCAAATAGAATCAACATGCATGCACATGGCAACTATCAGACAAATATTCCTTGAAATGGTTTTTATTTAGCAGTGGCACAAGATTGGTATGTATTTCTCAACAAAGAACGGTTGCTCAATTGTGTTGCTTGGCAGAAAAGTCTTGGTTTTAAATGCAGCATGGGGGAAACAGATCATTCCAGTATATTTTTTATATTTCCACATTTTGTATAGAGTGAGGTTTCTTTATAATTGGATTTTTTGGCTGCATGTTTTAACTGCTACATACGCATTGTCAACTGTCTCAACTTAAGAAATTAAAGCTTTGTGGGAACCAAATCTCTCATCTTGGCACTATAATGCAATACTTTGTCAACCACCTGTTAACTACATCTACTCAGGATTTTGTTATTAGGTAAATTTAGGGTGAAAGTCAACAGAGAGAGAGAGGGAAGCAGAGACACGCTGAAGACTAAAAGTAAAAATACTGAAAAGCCTCAGCGGAGTTCTGTGCTAATGTTATACTGTGGAACTGCATCCAACACAAGCACAGATGAATGTGAGTGATGCAGTGCTAATCATCTGATCTCCAAGCGCTCATCTGCTGTTGGAGCCTTCTGCCCTAAAGTGAAGAGATGTGGTCCATTACACAGCCCTGCTAATCCTGCCATCACTGCTGCTCATAATCTTCCTAATCCACACTCTCAGATGGGCCAGCTGAAGGCTTTTCACCTCACTGCTCCGCGCCAAGCGTGAAAGCTGGAGTAGCTCAGTGTTCATGGGACGTAACAGTACCTCTACTGTAAACTGAGTCAACAAATTCATTAAAAAATTATTGATTATGTAACATTTGACATCTTTATACTCCTTACTGGACATAAAAAAATATTCATTTAGAAGCCGTTTAGACAGTTCATGTTGGATGTGACATTTCATAAGGTAAACACACACCAAGGATTGCAATACATTATGGAAAAAAAAGATTCCCTTTCACCAAAATACAGTACAAAAAATGTTTGTTTTTTTTTAACTGTAATTTAAATGATATTCATAAGAATATGTTAAAAATGTCCATGGCACAATATGGCAACTGTATGAATGTATGAAATAACCTAATTGAATTGCAGTACATTAAACTGTGTTCCATTATTATAATTTACACAAGACAAAACTCTGCATACTTAAACAATATGATGATATCATTCCAATACGATAACCCTGACAGTCGATGAATAGTGACATTGAATTATCATCCAGCCCTGTTTCAAAAGCGGTAAACTACAAATAAATATGTTTTGTAGACTCCTGTTTCTTATTCTGGTATGTGGAAAGTGTTTGGGTAATTTAAGTTTATTGTGAAAGAGTTGAAATCAAATGGAAATCACTTACGACTACACACTCATAATAGAGTTGTAGGACTCAGCTGCAAGGCTTAT